AGCATGGTAGCGTGTGCCTATAATTCCGGCTACTTGGAAGGCTGAGGTGGAAGGATCACCGGAGCCCAGCAGGTCGAGACTGCAGTGGCCGGGAGCAGCCACTGCACTCCAGTCTGGGCGACAGAGTGAGACTCCAACTCAAAAAAAATAAAAATAAAAAAATAAAAAATAAAAGACCAAGGTAATACATGGGAAAGGGCAAATTCATAAGGGTGTGGACGGCAAAAATAATTACTACAGGGAGAGAAGAATGAACTTTCATGGGAAAGCGGGATGGTAATAACCAAAGCCATTAAAAGCTTTGTCACAAAGTTCCTTGGGGTCAGGTGCAATGGCTCATGTCTATAATCCCAACACTTTGGGAGGCTGAGGCAAGAGGATTGCTTGAGCCCAGGAGTCAGAAACCAGCCTGGGCAACACAGCAAGACCTTGTCTCTAAGATAAAATTTAAAAAATTAAAAATAAATAAATAAAATAAAATTGGAAAGGAAGGAGAGTAGGAAGAGGAGAAAGAACAACTTAATGCTTCTCAGTGTTTGTTACTATAAAAATTTAAGAATATGCCGGGTACAGTGGCTCACCCCTATAATCCCAGCATTTTGGGAGGCTGAGAAAGGAGGATCGCTTGAGGCCAAGAGTTCGAGACCAGGCTAGGCAACATAGTGAGACCTCATCTCTACAAAAAATAAAAATAATTAGCCAAGTGTGGTGGTACACACCTATGGTTCCAGTTACTCGGGAGGCTGAGATGGAAGGATTGCCTGAGCCAAGGAGGTCAAGGCTGTGGTGAGACATGTTTGTGCCTCTGTACTCCAGCCTGGGCAACAGAGACCCTGACTCAAAAAAAAAAAAAGAAGCTGGGCTCAGTGGCTCAGCCTGTAATCCTGCGCCTTGGGAGGCTGAGGTGAGTGGATTGCCTGAACCCGCAGGTTCGAGACCCGCCTGGGCAGCAAGACCTCATCTCTACAATAAATCAAAAAATCAGCCGGGCGTGGTAGTGTGCACCTGTAGTTCCAGCTACTTGGAAGGCTGAGGCAGAAGGATCACCGGAGCCCAGCAGGTCGAGGCTGCAGTGGCCGGGAGCATGCCACTGCACTCCAGTCTGGGTGACAGAGACTCCAACTCAAAAAAAAAAGAACAAAGTTCCTTGGCACTGACTGCCTTACCCCAGATAGAGTCACAGCCTTAAGGAAAGGAAAATCGTTTCTGGGAAGGGGTTCATTGTAGAACGTACTGACATTTGGTTCTGGACTCAGATTTCAGCCTCATCTGCTATTTGGCTTGGGAAGACTGAACAGGCCAATGCTGACTTCAGCATCCACACAGGCACCCCCAGGTCATGCCCGTCAGTGGCCCCGAGAGCATGTGTGACTCTGTCTCATCGGATCAGCACCAGGACCTCAGAAACACAAACAAGCCACGTCATCTGGATTCACTGCTAATACCAAACACACACTCTAGCTGATGGTGTGGGCTACTCCCTGCGTTATACTGCCAGGCTTTTAAATTCTGACTACCAAAATGTTAACTATTGAAAGCATGGCAATAATGTAAAATTGTGATAAATTTTCACTTTTGTTCTTATGTCCTAGATGCTCATTCTACAATGGTGATCTTTGCTTCAACCTTATGTTAATATGCCAATTTATAACACTCAGCCATTCAGCCAAAATGTATAATCGCCAATATTAACTAGCACCCTTTAAAACACTCATTTTTATAGGGAAAAATGGAATACAGGGAAAAAATGGGAAACTGTGAGATTCTTGAAACTAACCTAGAGCTCTGGTACAGTCTACTTCTGTGAGGACCAAGCCTAAGAGGAACATTTTTGTTTTCCACCCATATCTTACCTATGACCCATGAATCAGGGGACTTCACTTATTTATTTTTCCCTACTGGCACCCCTAGAAAATAACAGCTTCTTCTTCCCTTATATATTATTAAGAATAAAAGACTTCAAGCTGGCCTCAGTGGCTCACGCCTGTAATCCCAGTACTTTGGGAGGTCAAGGCAGGAAGATTACTTGAACCCAAGAGTTTGAGACCAGCCTGGGCAACATATTGAGACCTCATCTCCACACACGCGAGCGCGCGCGCGTGCACACGCACACACACGCACACACACACACACACACACACACACACACACAAATTAACTGAGTGTGGTGGGGTGCCTGTAGTCCCAGCTACTTGGGAGGCTGAGGAGGAAGGATCACCTGAGCCCAGGAGTTTCAGGCTGCAGTGATCTGTGATTATGCTACTGTACTTCAGCCTGAGTGACAGAGTAAGACCCTGACTCAAAAAAATTAAAAATAAGAGTCCAAGGGCTCTATCCTGATGGCAGGTTAAAAAGAATTGTCAGATACTGAAAGGTTCCTCATGTGAAAAGTGCAGAGGATTTGTGTCCACAGAGCCCAGGCAGCAACAGTGACTCACAGCCCAATCAGGGGAGTCATGGGGGTAGGGACAGGGTACAGCTGCTGACCACAAAGCCCCTCCTACAGCAATCACTCACGTCCCTCCCCATCACCAAGTCCTGCCAACTTGGAGACACTAAGCTTCAACCAATCGGCTTGTGCATGGGGGCAGCCAAGTGGCTGTGGATACTGTTTTTTAGGGGTTTTTTTGAGTTAGAGTCTCACTCTGTCACCCAGACTGGAGTGCAGTGGCTGCTCCCGGCCACTGCAACCTCAACCTGCTGGGCTCCAGTCATCCTTCCACCTCAGCTTTCCAAGTAGCTGGAACTACAGGCGCGTGCTACCACGCCCAGCTGATTTTTTGATTTATTGTAGAGATGACGTCTCACCAAGTTGCCCAGGCGGGTCTCGAACCTGCAGGCTCAGGCAATCCACTCACCTCAACCTCCCCAAGCGCAGGATTACAGGCTGAGCCACCGAGCCCGACTGTTGATACTGTTATGTCCAAGAGAGCACATGCTCCCAAGCTGTTTAAATACATGGCGTCATCGCTAATCTCCAGCTGTGTCTCATGGCAAGGGGAATCATTCATTTTATTGAGGCCACAGCTTTGGGCTAAGGCAGAGGTTTAGTTTAGTCGTTTGGGGAAAGGCACCTCTATTAGCTGATATTCTCCTCCTTTGCCTCCCCAGGCAAGGAAGACGCAGTGAACCTTCCCACTTGTCTTTCCCTACAAGCACCTGTCTTTTCCACCGTTTTCTGCCTTGGCTAAGCAGAAAAAGATTTTTTGTTTTGTGTTGTGTTTGTTTGTTTGTTTGCTCTTGAGTTGGCGTCTCACTCTGCCTTCCAGGCTGGAGTGCAGTGGCATGATCACAGCTACCACAACCCCGACCTGTTGGGCTCAGGCAATCCTCCTGCCTCAGCCTTCCAAGTAGCTGGGACTACAGGTGCCCGCCACCACACCCAGCTAATTTTCTAAATTATTTTTTTGTAGAGACGAGGTCTCAGTATGTTGCCTAGGCTAGTCTCAAACTCTGGGGCTCAAGCAATCCTCCTGCCTCAGCCTCCCAGAGTGCCAGGATTACAGTCATGAACCACCATGCCCAGCCAGAAACGCATTGTATCATTAAGATCAAATGATGACCACACACAGTTCTGGACTACTGATCACTTCTGAGGGTTGGAAATATAACACAGTAACACAGGATGGTTTAAAAGAAACAATCTGTGACTGGAAGAGAAGTACTATTATACGAATGAAATAACCTAATGAAATTCTAATGTGATATACTGCAAAATACTAGAAAAAATAAAAGTTCAGGCTGGGCTCGGTAGCTCAGCCTGTAATCCCGCACTTTGGGAGGTTGAGGTGAGTGGATTGCCTGAGCCTGCGGGTTTCAAACCCACCTGGGCAACTTGGCGAGACCTCATCTCTACAATAAATCAAAAACTAGACAGGCATGGTAGCATGTGCCTGTAGTTCCAGCTACTTGGAAGGTTGAGGTGGAAGGATCACCAGAGCCCAGCAGGTTGAGGCTGCGGTGGCCGGGAGCGGCCACTGCACTCCAGTCTGGGTGACAGAGTGAGACTCCGACTCAAAAAAATAAAATAAAAAATAAAAGTTCAAACTAAATAAGAAAATCTCCTTATTACTCACATTTTAGAAATTCTGACCTCACAGGCCTTACAAGACTTCCACTTGCTAAGCCCCAAGGAAAACAAAAGGCATTATGTTTCTCATTTGAAATTTCATCCTTGTGATAGGCTACACGATTACCAACAAGGACCAGGCTTGGAGAAGATCAAACTTCTCTTGTTTTTCCAGTCAAATAATAGTTTACATCACAGGAATCCATCCTTTGCCATCCTCTGGGACTCTCCATCTGTTTCAATGTGCAATACAAAAAAGAAAACCTGGCAGGCTAGGCACAGTGGTTCATGCCTATAATCCCAGCACTTTAGGAGGCCGAGGTGGGAAGATTGCTTGAGCCCAGGAGTCCAAGACCAGCCTGGGTAACATAGTGAGATCATGTCTCTACAAAAAATTTTTTTAAATTAGCTGAGTGTGGTGGCATGCACCTGAGTCCCAGTTACTCGGGAGGATGAGGTGGGAGGATTGCCTGACCCCAGGAAGTCAAGGCTGTGGTAGCTGTGATTGTGATTGTGCCACTGTACTACAACCTGGATGATAGAGTGAGGCCTGAACTCAAAAAAAAAAAGAAAAAGAAAAGAAAAAGAAAAAAAAAAAAGAAAGAAAATAAGAACTAGAGATTTCTCATGTGAACACCAGCGTGGCAGGCCACAACGAAACCAGAACCTGGACTTCCTATCTCCATCCTGGGACCTCAGAGCGCAGGCCTTGAGGGGTTTCTCCAGGGAATACCTGGGAGTAGAGAACCTCCTCTAAGCAGGCGACATGGAGAGGAGGGGCTGGAGTCAGAAGCACATCCGGGTAGTCCCAAGGTCAAGAAACACCCCTCACATCAGATGCTCCAGCACAGAGAAGCTCTTAGGGAGGAGGGAAGAAAGGCTCCCCTGGAGGTGCTCTCCCAAGTCCCCTGAAACCCTCGCCCTCGCTTACCTGGGCACCAAGTGGTTGAACTTGTAGGAACTGAAGACCTCTTGGATCTTTTCTTCTACTTTCACCTGGTAAGGATGCAGGAGATGGGAGAGAGAAAACAGATACAGATGAGACCACCAGTCGCCCTGTCTTCCTGTTGCCATGAACGCCTACTGGCTGGGGGTACTTGGTGGGGTTTGGATTAAGGGGTTCTGCAGGCCCGGGACAAGGAGTGGGGGGAGAGGTAGACAGAAAGAGAGAGAGGGAGGGAGGGAGAGATGGAGGCGGGGAGGGAGGGAGATAAAGAGAAAGACAGAGAGGGAGGAAGGCAGGGGGAGGGACAGAGGGAAGGAAGGAGGGAGAGGGAGAGAGGGAGAAATAGAGACAGAGAAAGAGGGAGGAAAGGAGGGAGGGAAGGAAAAGGAGAGAGATAGAGAGGGAGGGAGAGAGGGAGGAAGGGAGAGAGAGAAGGAAAGAGGGAGGGAGAGAGAGAAAGAGAGGAAGGAAGAGAGGGAGGGAGAGAACCCCCTCTACCATGAGGAAATCACAACTGATTTTCCAGGAACCTAATCCATAATATATAAAGTAAGGGCACTTTTGGTGTTTGGCCCTGGTACCAGTTACTCAGGGTGCAGATGGAGACAGATACCTTTGCTCGTGCAGGAGACCCGAAAATGCCACCCCGACATATGATGCAGAACAGAATATGTCACCCCAAATATGCCATCGGGCTTAAAGGTTATTTTGGGCTGATTATTTTGAGAAACTGCAGATACAGGCGACGCTCTGAAAGAGAAGTTACCTTTCTGTGAGGGAAATGTACATCTATAAAGGAAACCTCCATCTGTAAGAGTGTCTCCCTGGCCTAACAGGGGAGAAGGATGACTACATCCCAGGAACTTGGATCAATGGAGAAGGCACCTACTGCAAGCTGCTCAACAAACCTCACGCTTGTTTACCATACCTGTTTACTCTCCTTTACCATACTTTCTCTTAGAAGGGTAAAGGGAAAATGGTTTTCTTCCTCCCCTACACTTGAAACACTCTTGCCAGCTCTGTGAAGCGTGTTCATTAACTGGCCACCCTCAAATACCCAGTTAGCTTCTGCCGAGCGTCACACTTCTTATTGTTTAAATAAAATATTTACATGGTCTAAGGAGATTTAAGAACATCAATTGCCAAAACACCAGGGAAACAGAAATAGCAAAGTCTGATCCGATGTCACACACAGGACACCATGGTCCCATAAAAACCAAGCATCTCAGAAAGTCAAGTCACAAAAGAAACCAGATCTTCTGCTTCCTCTGAAGACCACACCATAATGTGATCTCACAGGAAGCTTCTTCTACGGACGGGTGTATGGTAACGAGGGAGGGGCTGGTTAACAGGATACAGGGTTTCACCTTCCTTGGCATCCCTGAACTCTGTAGTGACGCATGTTCTTGTGGAGATATCAAGATACATAAAAATCTCCCCCACGGAAAATTTTTAAAATGTGTCATTAATTTCTGAAGAAGATTCTGATGCATGCTAACATTCGTAAACATTGTCAGAATCAAAATGGAGTCACATGTATTAAGAAGTTCTGGCCAGGCGCGGTGGCTGACGCCTAAAATCCCAGCACTTTGGGAGGCCAAGGTGAGAGGACTGCCTGAGCTCACAGGTTCAAGACCAGCCTGGGCAACTTGGTGAGATCTCATCTCTACAA